ATTTCCGGAATCTAGATGACTATGTTGCATTTGGCACCATAAAGGTAAGAAAAAATCATAGTTGAGGGGGTAGATGTAATTATCCAAACAAGAGGGGTTTTTTTGTAATTTAACCATACCTCAGGGGGGTATTTGTAATTTACCCTATACCAAAATTACCCCCAATTCATTGAAATCCAATTTCATGAATCTCAATTTAGTCCAATTTCACCAACTAACCAATTTTGACCTTAGTTTCAATTTTGACGCCACACCGGAGGCCGTCGGTCTCCGGCATTGATTTTTTTTTGAAAACTTTTTGTTCCTAAATTTTTTTCCGGTAGGTCAACCGCCGTTGACTTTTTTTTTTTTTTTTTAATTTTGATTATTCTTAAATATTTTTTTGTAATTAATATTACTGTCTTAGCTGTTAAGTTACTGTCTCCGGCAGTTATTTAACTGTCGGAGACAGTAATCTAACTGTTAATTGATCTTTTCTTATTTTTCTTAAAAAAAATATTTTTAATTAATATTACTGTCGCTGCTAAATTACTGTCTCCAACAATTATTTAACAGTCGGAGACAGTAATTTAACTGTAAATTGATTTTTTTTTCTTAAAAAAATATTTTAATTAATACTATTGTCTTGCCTGCTAAATTACTGTCTCCGGCAGTTATTTAACTGTCGGAGACAGTAATTTAACTGTTAATTGACTTTTTTTTTGAAATTTTGTTTTTTCTTAAAAAAAATATTTTAATTAATATTACTGTTGCCTGCTAAATTACTGTCTCCAACAGTCATTTAACTGTCCGAGACATTAATATTACTGTATTAATTAATTTTATCGTCTTGGCCTGCACTTTTGCTGTCTTCGACCGTAATATTACTGTCTCATGTAATAATATTACTGTTTGGGACAGTAATATTAGTAATATTACTGTTTGGGAAAATAATATTCATAATATTACTGTCTCAAACAGTAATATTACTGTATGAGACAGTAATTTAGCAGCCAAGACAGTAATATTAATTAAAATATTGTTTTAAGAAAAAATAAAATTAAAAAAAAAAGAAAAGAAAAAAAGAAAAAAAAGTCAACGCCAGAGACCGGCCGAAAAAAAAAGGTTATCAAAAAAATTATCAACGCTGGAATCTGGCCGGAAAAACAAAAATTCAAATAAAAAATTATTTATGAAACTCGTTGGTCGGAACATGTCAGCAAATTGTAAAGATTTCTAAGAGCTCTCTAAAACCTCTAAATTATACTTACCTTCTAGAATGTTTACCTTCTAGAATGTAACTAGAATATGAAATGCTTTTATAAAATCAGTGAATGTAACTTGAATAAAATTCTCTATAAAATCACTGTCAACCGTAATATTAAATTAATCATACCATCAATCATAGAGGTGGAGTACTGTATATATAGGAGTAAAATTTCATTTGTGAATCAACCAAACAAACTTATAAACATAGTAATGTCTTTAGATTAGGTACATCAAAACAAAAGTGTGATAACATAGGATCGTCCTTTTAAATATGCTTAGTACATTTTTCTAGAATCGAAGGATCGGCCATGTACAAACATAATTTATTATGATATAATAACACAAAAGCCTCCCCTCTCTCTCTCTCTATCTCTCTCTGTATTATTATGATTTATGAAAGTTGGTCACCGTGAGAACGGCTAGCTATTTTGCTTTACAAAATTTCTATTGGATAAAAAATGAAGCAAAATTAAGACAAAAAATACCGATAAGATCTTATATCTGTATAAATACTATTCAGACATTTTACGATGTTTTTCTCTCTTGGTTTTAAAATTCGAGAAGCGCTTTGCAAGCATATGCCGGTCAGCTCGGTCCCAAGGATGCTATCGTAAATACTCTGGAAAAGGTTTACAGCACCGAACACGGAGCAAACCTTATCCTGCAGAAGATGGTACGTACGTGTGGTAATTTTCGATGATTTAATGTTGATGGTACTTGTTTTTGGTTGACGAACAACCTGAAGTTTTTTATCAGCTGAAATTGTGCCGAAAGAACACACTGTGTATTATTTGCAGAAGTGCGTTCCGGGAAGATAGAATCGTCGTGTTCTTCGAGAAATGCCGCCATCTTATTCACTTCAGGTGTTTTTCGCAGTGGCAGGATTCTCAAGAAGAGTTGAATCTCCCGCGTTACGTGCCCATTGGACAAAGAGATTTTGAAGGAGTGGGGTAGACACGGCCACGGGCCGGTTCATGCCGGTTTCGGACCGGTTCATACCGGTTCACGGTTCATACCGGTTCACGGTTCACGGTTCACGGTTCACATTTTCCGGCCCGTAATATGCACGGTTCGGCGGTCATTCTAGAAGTAGGTTTGATTCGATAATACACTTGAAGTACATTAAATTAATTGTTTTGCTAATAACTTTCGACAAATCGTATAAGAAAAATCATGGATTTCGAAGGAGTGATTTCGAGTGCTACAATTTGATTTCAGAAAATAATACCTATGTATAATTTATTTGCAAATAAGGAAAACCCTTTTATATATACCAAAATTACATCAAATTCATTGAAATTCAATCCAACTCCAATTTCATGATTTACACCCCAATTTAGCTCAATCTCATCAATTAACCTATTTTGACCTCAATTTTAATTTTGACCCCAATTTTGACCTGCCACCACCGGAGACCGTCGGTCTTCGGCGTTAATTTTTATTTTTTCTGATTTTTTTTTCCGGTAGGTCAACCGCCGTTGACCGTCGGGTCTTCGGCGTTGACTTTTTTTTTTTTTTTTGAATTTCTTTTTTCTTAAAAAAATATTTTTGTTAATATTACTGTCTTGGCTGCTAAATTATTGTCTCCAGCAGTTATTTAAGTGTTAATTGACTTTTTTTTTCTTAAAAAAAATATTTTAATTAATATTACTATCTTGGCTGCTAAATTATTGTCTCCAACAGTTATTTAACTGTCGGAGACAGTAATTTAACTGTTAATTGATTTTTTATTTTTATTTTTTGAAATTTTGTTTTTTTGGAAATTTTGTTTTTTCTTAAAAAAAATTAATTTAATTAATATTACTGTCTTGACTGTTTAATTACTGTCTCCAACAGTAATTTAACAGTCTGAGACAGTAATATTACTGTATTAATTAATTTTGTCGTCTTGGCTTGCATTTTTGCTTTCTTCGACTGTAATATTAATGTCTCCGACCGTAAACAGTAATATTACTGTCTTATGCAATAATATTGCTGTTTGGATAGTAATATTACTGTTCGGAAAAATAATATTCATAATATTACTGTCCCAAACAGTAATATTATTGTCAGAGGCAGTAATTTAGCAGACAAAACAGTAATATTAATTAAAATATTTTTTTCTAAAAAAAACAAAATTAGAAAAATAATAAAATTAATAAACCGAAAAAAAGACAACGCCGGAGACCGTTCAGAAAAAAAAGTTTTCAAAAAAAAAATCAACGCCAGAAAAAAAAATTCTGTTCTGAAAGAAAAAAATATTTTTTCAAAAAATTATTAAAATGGGAGTTAGTGTGATATATTATGGAAGTTATAGCATAATGGATGGAATTGACCAAAGAATATATATGGAGTATTTTTGACTAAAGACATGGAGATAGGTTCATTTGAAAGACTGTATTTTTTTTGAACCAATGTGCATTTAAATCCCTTGTCATGTCCCTTTTTGCCATTTGCCCTTAAATAAAAAAAAAAAGAAACGAAAGTTTAAATTTATTAAATTATATATAAAAAAGAATTAGAGTTTGCGGATAGGAGTTTATGGATAGATTTGTGAAGCGATTATAATCAATTACACGATTGTAGGGATCTTAAATTTCCGAAGTTCCGAATTTTGTATGTGTCTGCCAAAAGGCTATTTTTGGGAATCATTAAAATAATGGGTATTTTACTAATATATAAAATATGGTTAGATCCCCCTTATTAAAAAAAAACACTAGAGGGATTATGGCTAAATGTACGTTAACACAATTTTTACCTATTTTACCAGTTACTTTATTAACAGCGGGGAAGAAAAAGATTTTATCATAATCAGTTAGTATTTGTAAACCAAAAACCCTAATCAATCAATAAAGATGGTGCTCGCAGAACTAGGGGGAAGAATTTCGGGTGCTGTTCGGCAGATGAGCAATGAGATAATTATAGACGACAAGGTTTTGAATGATTGTTTGAACGAGATTACGCGAGCTCTTATCCAATCCGACGTTCAGTTCTCCATCGTTTGCGACATGCAGAAGAATATCAAGAAAATCGTCAAGTTAAACGATGTCGCCGCAGGCCACGACAAACGCAAAATTATCAAACAGGTAACCTAGGGTTTGTTTTTTTACTAAATTCTGACCGGATCAGCCGATATTTAATATAAATCGGATTCCACTAATTTTTTGACATGTCGCACTTTTAAGTCTTAACTCTTAATAAATCACCCTAGGGTTAGAGGTTTTTTTTTTTTTCCAATTATTAGAATCATAATTATATTTTTATTTAAACTATCCAATCATCCTATGGCATCCGATTTTTCTTTTAAAACAGGTCATCCGGTCTAAATTTGCACACATAAAAAAAAATATCAAACATGTGCATGCATATATATATATATATATATATATATATATATATATATATATATATATATATATATATATATATTGATGATTTTAATTTCGCTTTTTTTTTTTTTTTTTTGTGTGTTTAAGGCTATTTTCGGCGAGCTATGCAGGATACTGAATCCGGGGAAGGCTTCATTCACTCCAAGAAAAGGGAAAACTAGTGTTGTTATGTTTGTTGGTTTGCAAGGTATATAAATATATATATATACTTAATAATGGACTAAAAAGTATTATTGTACATGCATAGTGGTGGAAATTGAAACTGAATTTCCGATTTCCACCGATTTTGAATTTTTCAATTTGGAACAATATTTTTCATTCCAAATTTCGAGAATCCGATTCCGATTTTTTTTTTATTCGGAATTGGAATATATATGGCGATCTTATCCGGTTACAACATCCAACAAAATTACTATTGTAATATCAATGTTATTATACATTTTATATTTTAAGTTACTAAAAAAAATGAAATTTTGCGATTCCCTCCGACTCCGACGAAAAATTCCGATTTTGGAACAATTTTTTTCATTACGAAACTTAGATTCTTTTTATTTTTCCGATTTGTTTTGGAACGGTACTGGAATGGATTTTTCACTTCCGAAGCAAATCGATTTTTTTCCGAAAATAGTTATTCCGATCCGATCTGTCCGATTTCCACTCCTTAACATGCATCAAATTAAAGCATGCATACTTTTCTTGAATGGTTTTTTTTTTACATATAATTGATACTATTAACGAATATAGGGTCGGGGAAAACGACAACTTGTACGAAATATGCACACTTCCACCAGAAGAAGGGATGGAGACCTGCTTTGGTTTGTACAGATACATTCAGAGCTGGTGCTTTTGATCAGTTGAAGCAAAATGCAGCTAAAGCTAAAATTCCTTTCTATGGCAGGTATAATCTCTCTCTCTCTCTCTCTCTCTCTCTCTCTCTCTCTCTCTCTCTCTCTCTCATATATATATATATGCTTTTACAGCTACACGGAGTCGGATCCAGTGAGAATTGCCGTAGAAGGAGTTGAAAGGTTGAAGAAGGAAAATTGCGATCTCATAATCGTTGATACAAGCGGACGTCACAAGCAGGAGGCAGCTCTTTTTGAAGAGATGCGTCAACTTTCCGAAGCGACGGTATTTTTTTTTGTGCTTCCCCCGTTTCGTTTTTCCATAATTTCGACTTAATTAGCTAGCTAGCTAGTTTTAATAATATAACAACGCTCATATTTTATTAATCATTTTATAAAATTCCAGAAACCGGATCTCGTTATATTTATAATGGACAGCAGTATCGGTCAAGCTGCCTTTGACCAAGCTCGAGCGTTCAACCAAAGCGTTGCGGTTGGAGCTGTTATTGTCACTAAGTTGGATGGTCATGCTAAGGGAGGTGGGGCTCTTAGTGCAGTTGCAGCGACAAAAAGTCCGGTCGTATTTGTGGGCACGGGTGAACATATGGACGAGTTTCAAGTATTTGATGTCGAACCGTTTGTTAAACGTCTTCTAGGTTAGTTCGCATTCCCTAATCATCCTAGTTTCCAGGAAGATCACATTTTTCGACCCTCAAATTTGCACCGATTTCACATTTGGTCCCCATATTTACAAAACAAACACATTTAGTCCCTCGTGTTTTAATGTCATTTCCGTCAATTTACCGTTAGTCCGTCAGTTAAGGTTAAGGCAGTAGTAATGGGCACATGCGTGATTCTGTAAAGTACTAACGTAAAATTGACGAAAAGGACCAATGATTTTGAATTTTTAAAGGGCACATGCGTGATTCAGTAAAGTACTAACGGAAAATTGACGAAAAGGACCAATGGTTTTGAATTTTTAAAATATGAGGGATCCTAGAGGACCAATTATGAATCAATCGAGATAAACTAACTTAAGGAACGAAAAAAAAGAGTGTATTTTTCCCCTTTTTTCTATTTCTAGTATTGTTTGAGTAATTAATAGTTATGTATTTCTAATTTTTTTTAATTATATATAGGTATGGGTGGCGATTGGTCTGGTCTCGTCGACAAAATTCAAGAAGCTATGCCGATGGATCAACAACCTGAGCTTCTCCAGAAGCTTTCTGAAGGCAACTTTACTTTGAGAACTATGTATGAGCAAATTCAAACTATACTTAAGATGGGTCCTATGAGCGAGGTTAGTATATCATCCCTCATGTTTACACCAATTTCACATTTGGTCTCTCATGTTCAGAAAGAAAACATTTGGTCCTCATGTTATAAATAATCAACATTTTTAATAATTTCCGTCAATTTTCCGTTAAAACTAACAGAACATGTGTCGGTCACTGCCTTCGGGTTTTCGAGTTTTCGAGTTTCAGGTTTACTGACGGAGTAGGTTTTTTTCCTTTTTGTAGGTATTCTCGATGCTTCCAGGATTTAACCAAGAGTTGATGCCCAAAGGTAGTGAAAAGGGAAGCCAGACTTACAAGTTGAAAAGATATTTGATAATGATGGACTCAATGACTAAGAAAGGCAAGTTTATTTGTTCCTACTATTATTTTTTTTTATAGAATAACACAAAAATTATAACTCAAATACATATTAACTACTATTAATGTAATGTAATGCAGAGTTGGATAGTCCAAACGCGGAGTTGATGAACGAATCTCGAATCGCGCGCATAGCTAAAGGATCCGGCTCTCCTGTCGAGGATGTGAAGGAGATGATGGAAGCGTACAAGCGAATGGCGAAGATGTGGAGCAAGGCGAGCAAGGGGAAGGGGCTTAATATTTCAAAGAAGATTTCGAAGAAAGGATCGGGAAATATGAACGCGGAACAAATGTGCAAGGCACTTCCACCGGAAATACTAAATCAGATCGGTGGCGCGGGTGGCTTGAAAAGCTTGATGAAGCAAATCGGTTCTTCCAAGGATATCATGTCTTCGTTTAAGTAGTCCTTTTTTTTTTCTTCTTCTTTATATTTGGGTTACAGTCTCTATTTAAAATCCCCTTATTGTTCTCCTATCTGGGGTTCGGATCTTTTTAAAAAATATTTATTGAGAAAACAAACAAAAAATTAAATATTTATAGACATTAATTAGAAAAAAAATATAACACACTGCATATTTAAAAAAAACATGATCATTAGGTTTCCTTAAAATAAGGGATTCATAAGTAATGTAAGTGGCTTAGTTGAATGAGTAAAATTGTCTTAGAAAAAAAATAAAAATCTAGAATTAGATATGTGAAGGAGATGATGGAAGCATACAAGCGAATGTCGAAGATGTGGAGCAAGGCGAGCAAGGGAAAGGGGCTTAATATTTCAAAGAAGATTTCGAAGAAAGGATCGAAAAATATGAATGCGGAACAAATATGCAAGGCGCTTCCACCGGAAATACAAATACTAGATCAGATCGGTGGCGCAGGTGGCTTGAAAAACTTGATGAAGCAAATCGGTTCTTCCAAGGATATCATGTCTTAGTTTAAGTAGTCCTTTTTTTTTTCCTTCTTCTTCTTTATGTTTATGGAAGTTGACATTATAAACGTACAAATTTCGACTTCGGTTTTGTAACTCAATCTCGAATGGAATATACCTATGTAAAATTTGGGCAGAAAGGATGCTTTGATCTCCTCCAATTGTGATTTTGTACTTCAATAAGGTTAATTTTAGAATTTTGTGTATTTGGTCTCGAATAAAACGTGTATTATTTGTAAAATGTAATGAACTCTTTTGTAATATCTGGCGGTATTAATACTGAATTATTGTTTGATCCCGCGAATGTATACTTTCGGACTTCAATATCGTTAATTATAGGGTTTTACACCATAACCCAGAATCAAAAGCAAAAATTTATATTGATGAACTTAGATAATTTTTTTTATATTCTTGTGCTTCTTGTAATATGCCCGAAGCCTCTACAAATGACTTATATTTATGCATGTAGGTGGAAACTTTTTCATAATCATTTTATGAGGCCGGTGACAAACACAATTAGTGTATGATGATGTTCGCAAAAGCCTTGAAAATAATTATGAGCTTTTTCGGTTCGGAATCACTTTTGAAGTATTTGCAATACTAATTTATTCTTCAAATTATTATGCTTAACTTCATTTTGCACTCTTTGAAATATATACTTTTGGCACATTGCACTCACAAATTTTTTTAATTGGAGTTTACACTCACAAAACACAATAAAGCATTCACAATGCGCCTCGTATGCCTCATTAAATAATGAAAAGAAAAAATCAATTCATGATGCAATATTGAATGATTTGTTGTGTTTTGAAAGTGCAAAATGCTTTTAAATTTTTCAGAGGTGCAAAGTGACAAAATGCTAGTTTTTTAGGGTGCAAGGTGGAATGAAGACAAATTATTATTATTGCTATTTCTACTATTTAATTACTTGCCTTCTTGTTCCCTTTTTCAAATGGGAAAATTTGCTAGACACCCCTTATTTTGGACTTATATATGTAGATATCCTAGTTGCTAGATGAATATAGGCATAGGTCATTTGACTCAAAAAATAATATAAATAAAATAAAATAATTAGTGTATAGACATAACCACCCTCAATTAATAAGAAAAGAAATCTCATATATCTTCTCTCTCCAATCTCACGTTTCTCTCTCCATATATTTAATTTCTCATCTCTTTCTCTCGTCTATGTCTCACGCCTTTCTCCCTCTCTCGAGCTTCTCTGTTTTTTTTTTCTTTACTTTTTTGATAAATAAATATTATAGAGAAGGAAAAAAAAAGGGATTTTTTTAGATTATGAGATGATTTCTTGGTGGAAGAATTAAAGAGGACAACAAAATTCAGAAATCCAAAATCATAGCAAAAATTCACATTGTGTCTCTCGTATGTAGATATTTCCCATCGTTTTTGTTGTTAGCAATTTCCGTTTGCAGGTTGGTTTAACTTCGTTTGTTGTTTGAAGAATTGCGTTTGATGTTGAGATTCGATTCCTCTGGTTTACAATTTGCAAGGTATGTCTTAAGTTATATTTTACAAACATTTTGTTTAATGTTTTTGTTGTTTGCAAATTGTTCCATAAACAATTTTTTGGTTGACGTTTTTAGTGATGCTGATTTTTTTTATTTTTTTTCAGTTTGCTATTTGTATTTGGCCAAGTCATAGGTAGTTTATTGCTTGTATTCAATAATGCAAGTTTTGCTGAAGTTTTTTCTTCAGTTTGCTGTTTGCATTTGACGAAGTCATATGTAATTTTTTATTTGTAATTCAGTAATACAAATTATGGGTTTTGTTTTTTCAGTTTGTTGTTTGCATTTGCCGAAATCATATGTATTTTGTTGTTTGCAATTCAATAATATAAAATCTAATTTTCAGTTTGCTATTTGCAGTTCGCGGAGTCATAGGAGTCGCAGTTCCCGAATCATAGGCGGTGGTGGGGCTGCGGTGGCGCTTTTAGAGTATGAGTTTGTAAAATAAATTGTAAATTTTTGTTATGGATTAATTTATTTGTTTTAGTTAATATTTGGAAGAGAGATGTTTGGGATTTGTTTTGATAGAGAGATTTTTGGGAATTTAATTTGATTTAATTAAGGGTATTTTTGCTATAATAAATATTATTAATTTATTAAAATATTAAATTTTAACTTGGATTTACACACATAAATTATAATATAGAGGGACCTATAGCAAATTACCCCTTTTCAAATAGTGGCTCGAATGATTAATTGTTGCACGTGTTTATTATGTGCTATACTAGACAAATTGTGTCGATTATATATTTTGCACACATTATGACATTTATACGTATATATTATATACTATTGTATTGTATGTCTCCCAAATGTAACATTTATTGACCTTATAAGTATCATATGAATACGAAATTATATAGATTAGACAAGTTAAATGATGATTTTAGTATATGGAATGTTTTTCGAGTGATTTCGTATCATTGATCTATATATAAAAATACATTCATACATGTAAGTCTAGGCATAGTGAGTCGTTATTTATGTAAATTTATAGTATAACACACTCGATGTATTTCATCAGGTGTATTTGTTATGCTTATCTGAAAAATCGATTTTCAGTTTTGATTCTAATCTTTGTAAAAATTATTCATTCCTATTGGAATCATTGTTACTTTTATGCACGGGCGATTACCAGTATATCAGATAAAAGTCTTCATTAAATACGTAACGGAATCCTTTAAAACTTTTTCGGCACGACAGGTCAGGAGGCAGAAGAATAGAGTTGCACACAAAGTTGCTCGACTTTCTTTAGAGGGTCCATGTATTTTAACAAGTTTACCTCATTCATTCAAAATACTGTACTGATGGAAATTCTTCCTTATATAAAAGATTTACGTTCGTACTCAAAACAAAAAAAAGTGTCCCGTGTATCGCACGAGTATATAGTTACTAGTATATTAAAAAAATATGGAAAACATATATTGGAAAAAAAACCTCAATTTAAATAATTAATAATATTCCAAAAATTTCGAACTAAAATCTTCAAAAGTTGAAATTTCAGTCCGGATTTCGGAACTCATAACACATTGTCCTAATTTTCTTTAGTATGATATGCTCTTTCATTTCCAAAATTTTCAAGGAAACTACTAAATCTAATATATAATTTTAATTGTTATATTATATAGAAATCTAAATTAATATATGGTTAAAAAAAAAAAACTTTTTATTTTGTTAAATAAGAAAGGGGCAGAAAATAAGAAACAAATAGAGAAAGGGGCAGAAAATAAATAAATAAAGTCAAAACCCAAAAAAAATCTGCAAATAAATAAAACAGAGAAATTATCTATCCCTATATACAAAGGCACAGCCCCTCAAACCCCAAAAACCCTCACCACTTCCAATCAGCGCAGTTTCCATCTAGGGTTTATCTTCTCTCTGAAAATGGCTCGCTATCTCAGCCGAGCGATCTTCTCCACCGGCCGACAATCCGTATTCTCCGTCTTATCTCGCTCCAACGCCACCGCCGCCGCCGCCTCCTCCTCCGCCGCCATCCCAAACGCGTCGTCCTTCCTATTCCGCGTCCGCCCCCTCGTCGCCGTCGCCTCCATCTACGGCCGCGCTGCTCCGGCGCTGTCGTCCACCAGGGGTTTCGCCACTCGACAGACGTCGTCTTCCCTGAACGATCCGAACCCTAACTGGTCGAACCGCCCACCGAAGGAGACCATTCTTCTCGACGGCTGCGATTTCGAGCACTGGCTCGTGGTTCTGGAGAAGCCAGAGGGCGAGCCGATGAGGGACGAAATTATCCAAACCTACATCAAGACTTTGGCCACTGTCGTTGGCAGGTTTGAACCCCCTTTTTTTTTTTTTTTTAATGTTTTATACTTTATATTTCGATATTTTTTTCTTCTGGTTTGTTGTTTTACTTGGAACAAATCGCGAATTTTAAGCTTTGCCCTCTTAAAGATGGAAACTTGAAATGGAATTTTAGGGTTACAGTTTTGTATTTTAGAGAAAATGTTGTAATTTTCTCGGAGTATTTTAAGAAAGACAAGTGCTTGTGAATTGATTGTCAAGAAGTATGAGTTATGTCTTATTAGCTATTTAAATGTTTTGACTGCGGTGGGTGATCAAGCATGACGTACGATCTTTGTTTAGAAGTTTATGATTGGGCGGAAGCACGAATATTGATGCTATTTTTCTTTTCCTCTCTTTATGTTTGGGTGATGATACTGGTTTATGAATTGAGTTGAATGATAGTTCTGTGTGCGTCATGCACTCGTGCTTATAGGTGTGAAGTAGATTACGACAGAATGTTTTGTATATCCTGTTTATTTTGAGAACTTTTGGATTCTGCAGTGAGGAAGAAGCAAGGATGAAGATATATTCCGTGTCTACGAAGCATTACTTTGCCTTTGGAGCCCTTGTTTCGGAAGAAGTTTCTAACAAGATAAAAGGTAATTGAGTTGCTTATTTATTGCTTGCCTTCTATTTATTTTTTAATATTTTTTTGATTACTAACTCTATTTAACCACTTATGCTGCAGATCTGCCAGGAGTTCGATGGGTACTTCCCGATTCGTACTTGGATGTTAAGAATAAAGACTATGGAGGTATGTAGTCTCGTGGTATATATAATTGCGGTGGTATAATCTGTAATTTCTAGTGAAATTCTTACAGTGGGAGCTATTTTATGCTTTGTTTTCTTAAGTTGCTAGTCTCGAGCAGCCTTTATTATTTTGTGATACAAAAAATTAGCTGTTATAATTTTCGTTAAGTATCTTCACTAGTATTTTTGCAAGCATGGTTGTGTTCCAAATTAGTGACTAAAACATTGGCCTTTGTTTGTAGAGATTTATATCAATCAGGAGAGAAAAATATCAAAGAAATTCTCTATATAATGAATCTTTATAGATTCTTTGATCATTTATCATTGATGTCTAATTTGTAAACACTAAATTCTCTATTTCAGGAGAGCCATTCATCAACGGGCAGGCCGTACCGTACGACCCTAAATACCACGAGGAATGGGTGAGGAACAACTCCCGTGCAAACGAGAGGAACAGGAGGAACGACAGGCCCCGCAACTTTGACAGGTCTAGAAATTTTGAGAGAAGGAGAGAGCCACAGATGGGCCCCGGACCAAATGCTGGGGGCCCAGGCGGCAACATGGCGGGCCCAGGGGGCAACATGGCTGGCCCGGGGGGCAATATGGGGGTCCCACCCCCAAACAGGATTCCTCCACCACCCAATGCCCCCAACATGAGTGGAGGGCAGCAGAACTACCCTCCGAACAACCCTGGTAACTACCCTCCGAACAACCCTGGAAACTACCCACCAAGAGGACCCCCTACCAATGCACCACCAAACTACCAGTTCAGTAACGGACCAAACAATGGTGGCTATGCTCCTCCCCAAGGTCCTGGGGGTGGTTACCCCCCCTACCAAAACCAGAATGCTCCTCCGTCTAGAGATATGCCTCCACCCCCAAATCCTGGTCAGAACAATTTTGCCCCGAACAGAGGATTCAATCCAGGTCAAAATCCGAGCGGTTTTGCTCCTAATAATGGATATGGTAATCAGAACGGCTATCCTCCCAATATGGGGCAGAATCAGAATGGCTATCCTCCCAATATGGGCGGTGGAGATGCTTCCCAGAACCAGAATATTCCAGGAAGAGATTACTGAGAGAGTGTGTAATATATATTGAGGACGACTTGTCTCTGTAATCGTAGGATTTTTCTACTGTGGCTTTAATTTTCATAAGATAAAACCTATGAATGCTATCTTGGGTGGTTATTTATTTTGCTTATAACTTGCTTATGCATAGGGTTTTGTTCTTCTTTATGTTAACTAATGCATTGCATTTGGTGCCGTTTTTCTGCACTTATCTCATTTAAGTGTGTGTGTTTCGTACTTTTGTGGAGTGCTTGGTTCTTGATGTTGATGATTTTCTTGAGGTGACATCATAGAGCTCATTGATATATAATCACAATTTTGTAATGGCTAGTGACATATGATGGCAAATGTTACCGTAACGGACTGTAACTTTGTTGAATCTACGAAAGTTCGTTACCTGAATTTTCAGTGCCAACTACTTTTGTGGCTGTTTAATTATGCCATATGGTGTTGATTGTTGTTCGAGAGTACTTTTTGCGTGATATGTTTCAAATTCTCTCATTTATATCGAACTCTAATCACCGTCTTGAAACTTTTACGAAAGTTTTTGTAGATACCACTTTAAAAGTTAAACAATACGCATGTAAGAAAGATGGCATAACTACAGGCAAATAGGAAAAGCCATGTCAAATAGTGCCCGGAAAAGAAACAACCATGATTTCGATTATCCGTTTCTAATATACTGACATCCCACAAGAACATAGGAATTAGACAAACCAGCACAAAATGTAAGGAACAATTGGTACAAAATGCTGTTGTGCTACTACAGTTCAGACATAATAAATGTTAGCTCTAATCAAAGTTTGTGTATTAAATTAAAATGATGTCTCAAAGATTGTCTTAAGTTGTCTGTTCTGCTCTTTTGTTCTTAGCGAAACGAATCTGATCCGCCAGTGGAATTTCCTTCTGCAATTGTTCCCCTTTTGCAATATCCAAGTCGAATCTCTCCCAGGGCCGATCACTTTGATTGCTTACTTGATTAATTGCAGATTTCTTTTTACGAATCTGTTTAGAAAAAAAATAAAATAAGATAATAACAGAAAACCGTCAGCAGAACAAATCGATATTACAGTAATAAGGATGTAAGATACAGTCGTGGCTCTACAGTAATAGCAATGGCAATATTGGAATTATGAAGTATACACAACATAAACCATAGTGTATCTTCTGCAGTCGACCCTTGAATTATATAATTTAGTTTATGAATCATGCGTAGACCTTCTTCGTATTGTGCAATAGTTTTCTTTCGACTTTCTGTTTTTTTTACATAAATTTTGTGCTCAGGTCTCATGAAATCTAAACACAATGCAAATAGAGGTTGAAGAACTACCGACATTAATTTTACTTATGATATAAAATAATTCATATGTAATAAAGATATACCATAATTCAAATGATAGAACGACGACTTTACCTTCATTAGTCTCTCCTTGAGTTTTTCTTCCTGAAATTCAGCCAACTTCTCCTTTTCTTCTTTCGACTTTCTGTTTCTCCTTGTAATCGGTTCTCCTCCATTTTTCGCCTTTTGTTCGCGCTCTCTTCTTTTCTCTGCAAGAATCGCCGTCTTTTCTGCTCTTTCTTGTGCTGCTCTCTCTGCTTGGGCACGTGCCATCTCTTTCGCCTTCGCCTTCTCTGCAACTTGATGAATCTGTTGAAGGGCTATTTCTCGTTTAATTTTTTCATAGCTATCCCAGTCGAGTTTTTGCTGATCAGTCCCTCCTATCTTTGCAGCTTTTGCAATGCTTTCTTTCCATGATTGCATGAATTTCTCGCTCGTTCTTTTCAATCGTAGGCGTTTTCCCCACACCCTCGTGAGAGATGCACGTATTTTCGCTATGGTCTGATTACTGCAACAAGAGGTAACCGTAATTAAGCTTAAAGTATCACTTTACAGGTTACTGTTGAAGTGTTGATTATGTTGGACTAACTACAGAGGGAAAATGAGAATATCCTCTTCATCGAGTGACATCGTTTTTTTTGATAAAAAAATTGAAGTGGGAAAGTTATGAATAACCTGAGAGTACGAGGAGCTTCAGACATCTTCTTTCTAATCTGCACATATTTATTTACACACAAAGGCATCAGCAGAAAGCAGAATAAAAACTCAGAGGAATATAACGTACGAAAAAATTGGGGTTCAGAAACGGATAATCGTTTTTGAACTACTCTTCCAGTTTTAGGACAAAGAAAAACGACCCACTGTACACTATTCGTAGAAAGAAACATTACATGTTCTAAACAAATTTTTTTCACGAAAGGAAAGATACATTTGAACCACATTGACCGATTCTTACATGACTTCACCTTGGGATCTTTCAAGGCTTCTTTCGTTCTGCGACTGATTCTCTCACGAGTCTCTGCACAAGTCAGTACATACGATTAGGCCTTGAAAAAAATTTATTAAAAAACAAAATAAATAAATAAAAATAACTTTTCACAAGAATGAACCCGGAGAAAATAATTACACACCTTCACTGTGTTTTCGCCCAATATTCCACGGGATTTTCCCTTTGTTTCCCTCACCAATTTTTTTCCTTCTCTGGATTTCCTTAGTGTCGACACCTTCAAGTATATGCCGAGAACTATCTGCTTGCGTATTTTCAGTTAAATTTGGCTCTTCAGACACATCAGATTTCACAAAATCCCCTCGGCAAGAAGATTCAACAACACGAGGCACCGGTTTTTCCCTTGGATAGAAACACTTGTGCATCGCTCTAGATGAGTATGGTCCCGTAAAGGAACTGACTAGTCTAGGGTGGCCAAGTCCAATGAAAGGACATATCTTCGTCACAAGAGATGCACCACCACAAGTTGAATGTGTTGCGTGTTCAATCGCATAAACGAAAACAAATTTGGGCAGAACGGTTCTTCTAGGCACGGAATTGATCGGAAATCGAGAAGCAGACAATTTCCTGGTTTCAAAAAAAAAAAGCAGACAATTTCCCGGTTTTTCCCTTGGATAGAAACACTTGTGCATCGCTCTAGATGAGTATGGTCCCGTAAAGGAACTGACTAGTCTAGGGTGGCCAAGTCCAATGAAAGGACATATCTTCGTCACAAGAGATGCACCACCACAAGTTGAATGTGTTGCGTGTTCAATCGCATAAACGAAAACAAATTTGGGCAGAACGGTTCTTCTAGGCACGGAATTGATCGGAAATCGAGAAGCAGACAATTTCCTGGTTTCAAAAAAAAAAAGCAAAACATTATCGAACATCAAATATTTTTGCCATTTGGGATAAGAGCCATTCATCTGTTAGGTTATCTAGCTTCCTAATTAGTTAATCGGCACCTATTCGATACGGCAAATAGTAACTCAACTCGCAACCATGAAAATCTCACAACACTACACAAAACCTATTATCGAGAAGTCGTAAAGATAGATCTCGATTCACACGCTTTTCCCCGTATATAAAGAGCACAAATCCCACAAAAGGGCAATAGCATGTAAAACAGCATTCAAACAGCAGCCGAAATGTAAGGGTCAAAAGCACAATACAGAACAAGAAATTTCAGCCCTTACTAAACAAAAAACAAAAACCAACCGAAAACATTTTCAGTTGATGTGCAACTTGAAATTCAAAACAAGATTCGAAGCTCCAAACTCCTCGGCCGATTTTCCTCTTTGCTTTTTTTTTCTCTGAGGAATTTTATCGAACACTTGTAGGGTATCAACTACAACATTTTTTAGCTTACAAGAAAGAACAAATATACTTACAGTGGGCAGGAGAGCATTGCAGATTGAGGGTGTGGTGGGGAACGGTCATTGAAGGGTGGCGGAGAAGCTGCTTAAGCAATTCCACTGTGTGTTACTCACGCGCGCACCAAACATCGATACTGGTGGCTCTCTTTATTACCATATCCTCTTGCTGCGGTGTTTGATTAATATAAGAGATTAATTATTACCCAATTTGATTTCACTTTATAATTTCGGAACTTATATTAAAAAATAGCAAATTGCACATCACTCCCTATAAATTTTTAATTTTCGCACTTTACCTTCTCGTAATTTAAAACAACGAATGCCCCCTTTAAAAGGTTATACTTGTTGCACATTGTCCTCAGAGCAAAATTTTGATGGATTATTAATTGAAATTGATTTTTTTTTTTTTCATGTTGCCCTTTTAAATGTTACTTTTGTTGTACGTTGCGCCTTAAAAATATTATTTTTCTACACGTTGCTCCTCTAAAATGTAACTTTTGTTGCACGGTGCCTACCGAAATTTGGCTTTCAGGGCAAAGTGCAACCAAAATAATATTTCGAGGGGATATCTCTTTTCTATATTTTAGGGGGAAAGTGCTAAAATGGAAAATTAATAGGAGTTATAAGGGCAGATATGAGAAAGAAAAAAAAGTAATTAATGCAACATTAGTATTATTATTAAGTTACAATAATAATAATTATTAACTTGATTTTAAGAAAAATAAAATTTTTAGAAATCGGATCATATATATATTTCAACTTCGATCCAAACAAAATTGGAAATTTTGGGAAATACATTCTTTTAGAACACGAAATGAAAAATATTGTTCCAAAAAATTAACAAAAATCAGAAAATGCGATTTGATTTCCACATATGCAAATCAAATATTCCAAAATTTATTCAAATCAAATTTTATTAAGACAAGTTAAATATTTCTCCAAAGTAGGAAATTTAAAGGTTAATTGGTAGATACAAGTTACAACAACTTATAATTAGATACTAACATTCCCAACTTATAAAACTAAAGTAATCATTTCAAACTTTAGGTAGTGTTTGCAAAAGTTTAGTAATTGTGAGTTAAGTGGATTAAATGCTTATTTTAAAAATTGATGGTATTTGCAAATTATCTGAAAAATGAACTTAAATATGAAAAACAAATCTAAGGGTGTCTTCTTAAAAATAGCTCAAAACAACTTATTATAATAGAAGCAAAGACAAAAGTTGATTATATAAATACCTAAAAACAAATCATTAGAAGAAAAAAAGCTTAGAAGTTGTCTCTAAAGGTTTTTACAAACACCACCTTATAATCACCAATTTTTATTTTGGATAAATAGCACTTGCACCCCTGTGGTTTGAACTTTGTGCATATCATCCCCTTGTATTTTAATATGAACACATAACTCCCTAGTACTTTCAAAAAAATTCTCTTCATAATGAGCATGATTTTTTACCAAGTGGATTACACAGGGATGATGTACTTGTATATTAAAAGTTCAAACTCCAGTGGGGTTACATGCTTATATTGAAAATATGAGGGCGTCATGTGCACAAATCTTAAACTATAGAGGTTTAAGCGTAATTTACTCTTTTGCAAATAACCAAAAATAGGGGTATATAAGCCCAATTAGATTAGAGATTAATCAAATCCGTATATTTTTCAGTCAGACTATTCCTCCTTCAAAATAACTGTACTAACTGTAGTCTCCTGCAAATCCATTTCTCTCCTCCGAATTAGGGTTTTTAGGGTTCTCCGATCGCCCAAATGGACCCAATTAAGAAGCGGAAAATCGACGGCAACGGCGTCGTACAGGCGGCGGACCACGGCTCGTTCAATCCCCTCATGCTCTCCCCCGACGATGCCCGGAAGATTCTCGAGCCCTTAACCCACGAACATCTCCTGGAAATTGTCCAGAATGCCCTCCTGCGCCACCGCGATGTCCTGGAATCGGTCCGTTCCATTGCCGATCGCGACGCCGCGCAGCGGAAGCTCTTCGTTCGCGGCCTCGGCTGGGAAACCACCACGGAGAAGCTCCGCGGCCTTTTCTCGTCTTACGGTGAGCTGGACGAGGCTGTTGTTATACTCGATAAGGTCACCGGTAAGTCGAAAGGCTACGGCTTTGTCACTTTCAAACACATTGATGGTGCGATCGTGGCCTTGAAGGAACCGAGCAAGAAGATTGATGGTAGGATGACTGTTACCCAGCTTGCCGCTGCTGGAATTTCCAGTGGTGGCGGCGGCGGCGGCAAACCTGGAGTGGGTGGTGGCGGTGGCGGTGGCGGTGGTGGTGGTTCTGGTGGGGTGAATAATCCGGTTGATGTCTCGACGAGGAAGATTTACGTGTCGAATGTGCCGTACGAAATGCCTGGCGAGAGACTTCTTCAGCATTTTTCGATGTACGGAGAGATTGAGGAAGGTCCGTTGGGATTTGATAAGGCAACGGGAAAGTCTAAAGGGTTTGCGTTGTTTGTTTATAAAACAGCTGAGGCTGCAAGGGCATCTTTGGTTGATCCAGTAAAGAATCTAGATGGGCACCAATTGAACTGTAAGTTGGCAAGCGACGGGAAAAGAGGGAAGCCTTCTGGCGGTGGGCCCACGGGTGTCCATGGAGGTAATCAGGGTAATGCTGATGCGAATCATTCAATTGGTGCCACTCTGCCAGGCGGACAGTATGGTGGGTCTGGTGGGGTGGGCGGGCATTATAGTGGAAATTCCGGCAGCTTAGGTGGAAGTGTTAGACCTCGTGTAGGTGGGCCAGGATCAACGCCGATTGGGAGTCAAGCGGTGGTTAATGGTAGCTTTGGTTCTGGGAGTGGTGGGCCTTATGCAGGTGGTTCTCATTTTGGTGGGCCTATTAGGACTGGTTATGGCGGATTGACCGGTGGTGGTGGATTGGCTTCAGGAGCAGGGTTGGATGGTAATAATGGTGGTGGGTATGCAGGATTTGGTGGTGGTGGTGGAAAAGGTGGGCCTTCTGGTGGTGGATTAGGCGGTGCTGGCAGTGGAATGGGTGGTGCAGGTCGTGGATCATCTTTGTACGGTTTGCCGCCTAGCTCGGCTGGGATGAGTTCTGGAGAGTATGCTCAAAACACAAATTACAGCTTATCATATGGTGGGTATCCAGGGCAGCATAATCAACCAGCAGGGGCATTCTCAGCATCTAGACTTCCACCTGGAGGAGCCTACCAAGGGATGCCCCCTTACTATTGAGGTAATGTCCTTTACCTATAATTTTTTCGGCTTTCATTTACTCAAATTTATATAACTGGTTCTGTCTGCACATAATGCTACCCTTTTTGTTTCCTCTTGCCAATATCATTTGTTCTTGTGTCATGACTTTGCGTGCTTGTTCTAGAAGCTTACTATGTGCTTGTTGAGACTTGAGATTCTTAGTTGATGTTTTGCATTGTTTAATTGTCGCATCAATTTGGTGAGACAAACTTTTTACTGATTTTGATTTCTATAAATCTTGGTTTACCTGCTACCTTTTCTGTGTTGGACAGTCGCAATTTCTGCGTTATCTGAGGAAGTTTTAGTTAGGTCACAGTTGAATGTCTCTGATTGTGTTCTTTGGGCTTCTGAAAACAGCAGACTATTTGTTGGGCTTGATGCAAAGAGTGATTTTTGTGTCATTGCGAGTTGCGACATCATTGGTTATGATCTATTGTTTAATTTGCATAATCACCATTATGTAGAATACAATTTTGTTGGTAGTTTTCTTGTGCTTAACGTTCTCTCCAGGGAGTTTATTAGCTCTTGCTCTTGTCTCTGTGACATCATTGGTTATGATGTAATGTTTAATCTGCATAATCACCATTATGTAAAATAAAATTTTGTTGGTAGTTTTCTTGCGCTTTACATTCGCTGCAGTGAATTTATTAGCTCTTTTACTTCCTTTGATATTAACAATGTGCTTGCTGGGCCTATGGATGAGAAAAGTTGCGGAAATAAAATGATATGTGTGTTATTGCAAGTTGCCTGCATAACCGGAATAAATTTGCTATTCTCCGAGAAGAATTCACTGTCTCTTTGTTGCAATTTCTAGCAGAAGCTTTACTTACATGATATTTGCTTTCCCTTTTAAATTGGGATCCCGTGTACATATTCTTTAATGTAAGATTCAAAATTGGTACCTGGGATAGTACGACCAAATTCAGTATTTGTCTCTTTAAAGGGGTTGTTTAGTCCCAGGCTCCCTCTATTTTTTTACTTGTCTACGGGACGGGTCTTGATCACTGCATTCTCCTTCAGAGAGGACATGGCAAGCATTTACGATCTTTTCAATAGGCCAATGCTGATGTGACAACCTGATAAAACTTGAAAATTAAATGACTTTTTGTGACCGTTTATTTTTCTGTGTTTATTTGTCATTGGAGAATTTGTTACCTTGGAATCTTGATCATTGAAGTGAACTGGCAGTATATGGGTCCATGACATTCAGTCTTTATAGCGTAGTTCTTATGAATTGCTTCATTTTTCTTGAGCATTCACACATAGAAATGTGCAGCTGTTTTCTATTTAAGTTCTGCAGTAATTCTTGGTACTGTTATATCTTTCTAGATGTTGCCTCATACATCTATCCTTTTTTTATGAGTATTATTTGAGCTCTACAAGTTTTGGATGTGCATCCTCGTTATTTTATTGAACTGCATTATTGATGTATAAGTGGTCCTCCAACTTGTTCCTCTTAATTCTAATGATGTCGTGCTGTAGTGGTCTAGGACTAATGTACAAGGTACGTTTTTGTTCTACGTGTATTTCTCCTCATTTTCATGATACATTTTTTGAATAATAATAGGTGCATCAGTTGGCCTGTTTTATGAAGTGCCTAGAAAACAATGCCTCGGGTTTATATGTTTGTGACTTGATTTCCTTGCTTGAGTGAGCGACATGTTCTTAAAATGTATTATTTGAGCTGGTGTCATGTTCTTTGGAATGTTGTATAAAAGAAGATTTTTCTATTACTGTATTTGTGAAGTCTTTTCCTTGTTTGAATTGCGGGATCAATACTTTCTGGCGTTTTGCGTAGCTGTTATTACTTATTAGTAGAAGATATGTGGTATATGCATGTCGATTACGTACTGTATCCTACCATGAAAGCTAGCAATCGTGTCCTTGTTCTATACAGATCGCATTCATGCTTTTCAAGAGAGCATTCATGTATATATATAGTAGTAGATGATAGCTTGAATTACTGCATTTATAAGGTCATTTGTGCACACCTACATATCCCTTTGTCCGATTTTTGTTTCTTAGCTTAATCAACTCATCGAACACAGTATAGTAATAATGTTGCTTTATAAAATCCCGACTTTTGCATCATATGAAATTTTCTCTTGAATGGACTACTCGTTTCTTTTGATTATAATGATTCTACTTGTGCTCCACCAATTCTGAGAAATTATGGACTGTCCAATTTTGTCTTGTCTTCTGCTGCTACTGTGGAATGATCATTTAGCTGCTTGTTTCTTGTTGTATGTGTTCTCCTAATCTGAAATCCGTTTTTATTGGTCGGGTGCGGAATGATTGATTGAGTTGTGAATGAATGTTTGATTCAGGTTTATGACCAGCTTGTTGGTGCAGTAGCCTTAGTGGTTCTGGTGATTTTGCAAGCAATGTACTCTGGCTTGATGATTTTGATTTGCTCTGTGTTTCGCCTCTTCTTCACTTCATCTGCATCTTATGATGTGATCTCTAATTGCTCGTAGTTAAACCGAGTTAGACAATTTTTCTGGAAATGCCAAAAAATGGGGTGGGTTGGAGGGTGGGAGGAC